AATTTAATAGATAAAAAATTCAATTAAAAAATGATAAAAAAAATAAATAATTATTATAAAAATAAAAACCAAAGTTAATATAAAATTAAATTCTAATGGGTGAAATTAAAAAATAAATATTTAAAATAAAATATATACAGTAATAAAAAGTTTGAGATTTCTAAATTTTTTATAATTTTTAAAAAGTATTTTCCATTCAAAATAAAAAAATATTTTTCTAAAAATCAAATCAAATTTTTTATTGACCATAAAATATTTTTTTGTTGATTAATTTTTTTAAAACAAACATAAAAAAAATGGAATGTGGCCAGAAACAAACGCATCCATGGAGAGAGACAACCAATTCTTGATGCTTTCAGGTCCATGTCTTCAAGACTATCTGCACAATGTTTTCTTAAAGCATCTTTAAATTTTATCTTCGTCAACTTATTCTGCCCTGTATATATGACCCAGCTAACGTGTGAAGAAATTAATTAAAATGTTCAAGAATCTCAGACTTTATGTTTTCAATAACCGATGAATGTTGATAGCTATGTATCTTACACGAATTTTCCTTGATCTTGGCATCTCTAAAACTAGAATTAGATTCCTAAAATCTGATGAACGCATTATTTTTAATTGAATTTCATGCAACGATATTCGGATCACGCAAAGGGTTTGGTTCACATTAAAGTGAGAGTTTCAAAAAGTGATTGTCCCATCAAATGATAAATTAGATATCAATAAAGCACACCCCAAAGCTCCTTTGCTCACATTACACCAGTCAAAACATGGAGGATAGAACTTCGCCTTGGAGGCAACACTCAACAGTACAGATAATATTCTGATTGTGATTGTGCCTAACTTACTGATGATTTGGGAGAGATTATTATAAATTATTTTGTAATGAATTCTATATGTTTTTATATGATGCAGGATTGTAATCCAGATATGTTTTATAATTTCTCTTCTTATAAGCATGGGATTCACTATAAATATCGTTTATAAATTCTGTTTTTTTAATTAAAAAAAGAGAACACATTAACTCTTAATATATTGAAAAATCCCTGCTAATTCCAGTGTTTATAAGCAAAAACTACCGGGGGACTTACTATTCAATGACGGCAGATTTTAAAATTCTGCATTTGATTTTGTGTTTCCTTGGCATTGTCTGCTTGTTACCATGGAGTGGTACTTTATTTTTCTCATGGAGTTAGGAGTGGAGAAATTTTGCATGGATCAAGAATCTGGCTCGTGGGACGGCTGGAGGCCTGGAGCTCTATCGATATCTATTATTAGTCTGCAACGTGTACTGAACGTGGCAGCCGGCCAGGGAGACACTGTCTCCTTCCAGTGCCGGCAAACACAGTAAAGATCCGCGTACTTTGCTGACAAAATTTTAATGTTCTTGATCGAAGTCGGGCTCACTTCACTTGAGCTTAAAAGTGCTGGGTTGGTAAAATTAAATTCATTTTTGCAGTTCAACAAAGTATAGTTTCAAATAAAAAAACAAATGGTTAATAGATAAAAAGAAAACTTATTTGAAAACTTTCCAGACTTTTCTTCGGTGGATTTACGGAAGACTCCGACGACCATACATTAACTATCGTTATGACGTTATGCATTAATTAAGAACTGGAATAGAACAGAGAACTCGAGAGTCTATTGGGCCGAACCCATCACCGAAACATGGGGCCTAGTGTGGAACCTTTAAAGCAAAAAGAAGGTTTTAACTTTTAGGAATGCATTTGCTTTGGAAATTTGCGAAAAAAGATGCCCCGATTTTAAAAATGTGGATGCTCATCCACGTCAGTGAGTCCATGGTGCCGTGGAAGTCACTTGATCGAGGGACCCTTTCTCTCATCTTTCCTAGCTGTGCTGACCGATCGTTTTGATCAAATTCCGCGTTACAGCCTTGCAGGCACTGCACTCCTCCTGTATCAGACACACCTTGTTTCTCTTGATTTAGCTTTGCCTCGGAAAGGCTAAATTTATTTATCAAAATGTCAAACTCAAGTTTTGGAGCTTTTTTTAAACACTTACAATGGCAACACTTCAAAAAATAATTAAGAAAATAGCTAGTGCTATCGACATAATAAAAATTTAAAGGGTTGATTTGCCAGGAGTGGCTCAACTACTTATGCTGTGCTGCTTCTAGGTAACACCACCGGTAAAAAGAATTCTGGTGCAGGGAGAATTGAACCACTGGATATAGAAAGAGAGAAAATGAGGAAACAAGAGGGGGAGTTTTTCATTGAGAGGTTGCGACGCTCCCAGTAATACAACTCATTATGAGTTGCGGTATGCCCAATAATTCAATCCTTTTATTACAATAAAGGGTTGCGTTCCTCGGAGTAGTGCAACCCGGCCCGAATAGTTGCCCCGTGAAGGGAATCGCTAGCACACCTGTTTGATTTTTCTTTTCTATTTTTAATTTTTTTTCTAGCCGTGACAGTCCCTTAATTATTTTTGTGACAGCTATGGTAGTTTAAAAAACTCCAAGTTCATGTCCTACAAGAGGAGGTGGGTACAGATCTCACTTCTGACAATTTTTCCCTACTTTTTTTTGACTTCTGTCTTCCCAATTTTTTTTTTGGGGAGGAGATAAAAATCCTATTGGAATACAGGCATGGAGTTGTGGCTAAGTTTGCGACCAAGTTAAAGCTGGCGTACACGACAACATGGTACCAAAAGGAATCTGTGTAGTGCCAACCAAATTGGTAACCAGGGATGCAATGGCGCCTTTGGACAATCCATGCCCGTAAAATTCATGGAGCAGGCTAATGTGATGAGAAAAAGGTGGCTGTCCATATTGTATATAAGAAAGTCGAGTGCTTTTCATGCAAAGGTTTACGTGGCACTAAAGCTAGTTTGATTCAAACATGCATGCTTTATGTGACCATATATGTTAACTATGGTTTGTAGAGATAAATCATTCCCATCAAATTCAACATGAAATGAACCCTCCAGCGTATGCATGATAATCACATTAAGCCAAGATAGAATAATAACGAATATATGATGATTAATGGCAATATACACTTATTTGCTAATATTCTTCCTGCATTTTACCAATACGAGGAAAAAACTCGACATGCTTTCTCATTCTTAGTTATAGTTGCTGAATGCCAATGGTGAGTGAAAGCTAGCAGCTTATTTGATGAAAATTTACTGTTACAGTGTCTACAAGTTCTCGAAAAGATTCTGTTTTTGTGCTAAGCATGAAGAGCTACATCTATTAAAACAAACGTGCTGATGGTCAGTCGAACAAAGCAAAAGGAAAGACTAATTAACAAACTATTCAGTGACCAATTGCCATCACGTGGTATTCGATTAGAACACAAGTGTGGCAAAAAAGTTGGTCATTATTCAGTGAAGTGGCGCAGATGTTTGTTTTTTGTGTTCATATGAGGAGAATGATAGGATCATAGGCCACAAGAGAGGATTGAATATATTGTTATCGGCTGATTGTTGTTGAAAATCTAGCTGCCAAAATAAGTGCTTTGACCATGCAATACCTTAATATACATTTTACGGGGTATTAATATACGTGCTGACATGCGAAAGCGGAATGTCTACTCTGCAATTTTTTAGGGTTTGACGTATACGTTCCCATGTGCAAAATTACAGGAACTTAGTAAGCATTTCCATGTCAGGCGCAGTACGTATCTCTTAGACAAAGAAATCATCCTTCATATATATGGGCATACAGATCGGTACTTGACAGTCTCTTTTCTGCGTGTACATGAGGTGGAAGCCATTGGGAGAAATGGCACAGCTGATCACAGCATGGTTCTTATACTTGATATGTGTGTGTGTGTGTGTGTGTGAGAGAGAGAGAGAGAGAGAGCGCGCGCCACGCAATGAATTTTGAAAGTAAACTGTAAAGCGTGGATAATTCTATGGATTGTACAGTGCATAGACTGCTA